TGAGGGGCAACATAGTATGCTAAGAGGCAGACTGCTAATGTTCAAATCCCAGCTCTACCACTTACTATTTGTTTAATCCATGTGCCTCAGCTTCCTAATCTATAAAATGGGGATAACACAAGCACCTTCTTCATAGGGCTGTTATGAGGATGAAATGAGTTAAGATTTGTAAATTACTTAAAAGAGTGTCTGTTTCATAATGTTCATCTACTTGTAAAGTTAAAAAAATGTCTTTTAATGGCTCCCCACCTCCTTCCAGGAGTTTCACCAAAAATACCTTCACAAGTTGATGAGGATGGCTCAAAGTATTTATCAGCAGTAAAACAACTGAATGTTTGCCATTATATCCTAAATAACTAAGACAAACTACATAAGTGTTGGAATGTTATGAAAAGATTATCCAGATTTTTGAACACCTACTCTAAATCTGTTTTAAATAAGCCATCTAAAATCACAATCAGTTTAGGAAAGTATACCTGCATGTTGCCTGGATCCATAATCAAATTTTACTTGTTTTGGCATCTCAGCTTGTGGATTTAAAATAAGTTATTATTTTGTTTATGGATTTAGTTTAGCAGCTTTAATGTGAGAGCAAGTTGTCATATGTATATCTTATTAAGGAAAAAAAAAAAGACCTGATCTAATCATTCTTTATCTAAAGTCTTTATCTAAAAGCTTTTATCACTATATTTGAATTTCTGTCTCCCCTCCCTCTCCCTCTACTCTCTCTCTTTCTCACACACTGCTGCCTGCCTTTTCTTCCTATGCTCTCAAGGTCAGATGAGGGCTTTGACAGCTAACAACTCCTGCATTTTCAGACAGAGAATCAGTGAGTAGGTAAAATAAAGTTATACTCTTTTGTGAAAAATACCCTAACACACTTGGCTGACAGGTATACTGTGACCTCCCTAATGAGATGGCAGTGATACGGAGAAAGCAAGTACGAGCTGGAAATGAAACTGAGCCAGAGTAGAGGAGGTGGGGTGGGGACTGAGGGGGAACTAATCCTCTTGCCTAGTGGCACCCGTGAAGCAGAGAAGTCCTGTAAATCACTCTGATTAAAGGTGCAAACTGGGACCTGCTTTGATTGGAAGCCCAACATGGTAAGTGTAAGTTACCAGGTGCTTCCAATACCCTTTTAAATGGGTGGGTAACCAGAGGGAGGTTGCACATGGTCTGTCTTCTGTAGCAGAAACCAAGACAGATGCTCCCTGGCAGAGGTGCCAGTAAGGGCAGGGTTCCAATTGTTGGAGTGAAATGGAATGTTAATCGATAAACCAAGGAAGAATTTAGTAATATGGACTAGGTAAACATGACAAGATATTTAGAGTCCAAAGGCTTTCCCCAGGCACATGGGACACTGAGACTATGGTAATAAGTTCCTGGCAATTTCCACTACAATTACACTCCCACTGAAGGCCTGTTTGTGCTGGGCAGGACCTGAAGTAGCTGTTTGCATGCTGAGGACATTAATTGAGAGATCCTGAGAAGGACAGTGAAGTTCCTCTCACATTCACTCACTCACTCATTTATTTGTCTCATGTTTACTGAGCATTTGTAAGATACTATGCTTATATTAGGTGTTGAAATATAGTGCTGAACAAAATGGAAAAACTTTCCTTTCTTGTCATGAACATGGACATGCCCTCCCTACTATGTACAAGGGAGAAAGACACTAAGCAGATAATCACATAAATAAGTATATAATTGCAAATCATAAAAAAGGTTTTGAAGAAAATATAGAGGGTGCTAAGAGACTTTAATAGGAGAAGCTTTTTTAGTTTAGAGGGTAGTGATTACGCAAAGCCCTTCTGTAATTTCAGGTTTAGATGGGAGTCACCGGGGGCGAGGGGGGAAGGGGTAAAAGCAGTTTCAGGACAAGGCAGAGCATGTCAACAAAGGAAAGAGATGGCAAAGACTAGTGGATGATCAGGGTAGTCAGAACATAGTGAGTTCCTTTTAAACAATTTAAGGAAAAATATGCATACTGGAATAACAAATATATGGAATTAATAAAAACTGTATTTTATAATATCATAAACTTCTCAATTTTCTTTATTAATATATATACATTTCTGCTATAATTGCTAAGAGGAATGAGTCAAACAGTGAAATCAAACTGTATTTGCCTTGCTTTGTGTATTTTTATTGGGCTGCTTTCCAAAATAGACCAATGGGGATTATAATCTAGGTCTGTTTATGGGGAACCTCCCTTTCCCCTCCCCCACCACATACACAATACAGTTTTTTTGTAAATTGTTTAAAGGGTATTTAATGTTGATATAATCCTGCTATTAAATTCAAATAAATTTTGTCTAAATGTGAACTCAGACCATAGGGAGCTAGTACATCACAGGAGAAATAGCAGCCTATGAAACTCAGGACTCAATCTTCAGAGTCTTCTTCCACTTAAAAATGGCTGTGTTATCCAAAGGAATAACTGGTAAGAATGATTAGTGGTTCATCATGAAGGTGATTAAATATTGATATTGATCTTGTGTTTCGGGACAATTTAATGTAAGGAAAAATCCTTTAATTTTTAAATAGGTGTGCATAAACAGATTAAAAAACCATGAATTCCTACGAAGTATAAGAAACAATCATATAAGCATATGTTGTTTTGCCTTCAAGGTCCAGACAATTTTAACTACAATACTCCATAGTCTCAGCAGTAGATCATGCCAAAGAACTACTTGTGCTTTATAACAGCAGCAGATCTGTATGTTTTCCTGGAGTTAATAAAAAATAGTAACACAGAGCAAAAGAGAAATCTGGGTACAAGTCAATCCAGATACTGAAAGTGTTATTAAAATCAACATATGAAGGCACATGTTTCTTAAAGTCAAGCTTTTTCAAAATTCATGCAGTCATTAAAGCATAGGTAGGAATGCCTACCATGCATACAGTGTGCAAAGACCACTCAAAGTGGGTGATCTGGGTTCTTACTCTCACACTTTTTTGCAACACAGTTCTGGGTAAATCACTTAACCTTTCTGAGTTTGAGTTTTGTCATTTGCCAATGTGGTTCTTGTGAAGTTTGAAAGACAACAAATGTGGTCAAGCTCCCTTGATAACCATGAAGGTACTAAATAAGCACAAGGTTTATAAGGTCCTCAAGGGAACTTAGAGCCTAGTGAAAACCCCCTAATGTTTTCTCTTCTTGAGCATTGGCTATAGGCATTTGAACATTGGTTAGGCATGCACTTGGGGGCTAACAATTATTTAGCTCCTTTTAAGTCAGAGAATAGAGTTAGAAAGCGTCAAGCCTTCTACTGTGGGATTAGTGGGTCAGTATCACATGGGAGGACTCTCCCCCGCCCCAACAATTAACAATATTCCTTACTGTATGCTGTTCCTCTGTCAAAAGTTAGTTGGGATAAATATCACCTATCTGGGAAATACCTTCTTACAGACTCAGGTCACATAATAAAAGTAGGAGGCAAAAGTAGACTGATTTCTTTCTTAGAATAATCTTCTAGAAGTGAAGCTACTAGACTTGGTTCTTGATACATAAAACTAAATCATGCCCTTCAGAAAAGTGGTAACAATTTATACTCCTCTATAATATTCAATCCTCAGGATATTCCTCATTACCAGTTTGATTCACCATTTACTATCTTCCATAAATTAATAACTCAAAATCCACAAGATTCATCTATTTTCCTTCCTCATACAGTCTACTACTGTCCAGATGTGCTTGACAGGATGGCAAAGGCTGAGTGTTTAAATGTGCCTTCAATGGCTTACTTCTCCTCTTAGGATAAATCCAAACTCTTTAATAGTTTACATGCTCTGGGTGAAGTGGCCTCTTCTTCCTTTTGCAGCCTCATTTTCCACTACCAACCTCCCTCTCGAACAGACCAGCTGTCTCTTATGTTTAGGTCTTTGTTTGGACAACATTACTTATGACTGGAGCACCAGATTCTAGAGGGAGCTCAGTATTCAGACAGAATTTCTGACTACCGACAGCAAAAGTGGCCCGCTTCATACAGCTAAGAGTACTGATTTCAGACTGACTACAAATAACTGTGGCAAATAAAATCATTTGATTTGTCAGTCACTTAGGGGAGCAAGTTTTGACATGGGCACTATCTCTCAGAGAGGAAGAGGCTTGGGGAGGATAGAGAATGAATACCTAGAAGTGCTTATTGCTCTCCTACTTCTACCCAAATAAATGAAAATATTTTTCTATACTCTAGTTTTATGAGAGAGCTTTGGAATAACTAAGCAGATGATTTAAAAGATAGGCTCAGAAAAGTAACTCAAGTAGAAGCCATTAAATCTTTCACACCTTGTATACCTAGATGGTACACCTTCTACTGCACTGACAGATTAAAAGATCCTGTTTCATTAGAGTCACTGGCCCAGTTTCCCCTTCCATATAATAATGTGCTATATATGTGTTCTCATTTTTACCTCGAGCACCATGCTCCAAGTCTAGCACATAAGAAATGCTCATGAACATATTAAAAATCCTATCTTTTTATTTATTTATTTATTTGGCAGAGAGAGAGACATAGCGAGAGAGGGAACACAAGCAGGGGGAGTGGGAGAGGGAGAAGCAGGCTCCTGGCTGAGCAGGGAGCCTGATGTGGGGCTCGATCCCAGGTTCCTGGGATCATGTCCTGAGCCGAAGACAGACGCTTAACGACTGAGCCACCCAGGCACCCCAAAAATCCTATCTTTAATGTTGAATTTTATAGCTATTTACTGTTTATTATTATAGGTGATCAATCAGCTAATTAATTATTCTCCATCAATTCTGAGCATATTATTTCATTAAAAAATCGAACCTGCTACAACATATGAACTTGTTGAACATATGACCTGAAGAACAAATCAATAAGCCATCAAGGTTTTTAAAAACATTTCTAAACTTACGATCTTTTGTGAAAATCTGGCAATAGGATAAAGATAAGCAATCTGGACTTTACCCAAAAGAGTCATCTGCCAGGCTCCCAATAGAAGCTATAGCACAGAGTCTTTGAAATTTTACTTACATGGTATAGTGTGGTCTCTGGCACAGGCGTGCCCATGATGTCCTGTCTCAGTGCATCCATTTGCAAACTAGGTAGCAATGAATAGTGAGTCGGGCTATTACTCTTATCACTCTTCTTTTTAGACTTCTTCCCTGTGTCTTTTTTGCTGTTTCTCTGAAACATGTATTCTTCTTGAGCAATTTTTTCATTGCTCATATATCGGAGTAGGGAGTTTTCTATATAAAAAGAGATAAATACACTAATATAAATATGCAAATATTCCAAATTTACCACTCTTCCCTGATTGTGCTGTTAGATTTCATTTCAGAAATGTAACTTGATTTAATTTATAAAATACCTATGTAGTGAAAATATAGAGCATCTTAATCATTTGGGATCATAGGGCAATAAGAAATAACCTACAGATTATTTCTCTGAGTTTTATCTCTGGACCAACTATATGAGAATCACTGGGTGTGTGGCTCATAAAATTTTTAACAAGTTCCCCCAGGGGGATTCTGCTAAAAATTGATGACAAACACTGACCCATGACAGACTAGCATCCTTGGAGAAGTTAAAGCCCACATTTTGAACCAAGAGTCAGGAAACTTAGTTCATAGAATCTATGCTTAAACTGATAGCCAACACTTAGAACTTCATAAGGCATTTTCCCCCCAAGATATCATCATCATATGAAGTCCCAAAACAGTGACTCAGAAATAGCATATATGTTTCTCTTTTTATTTTTTTCTTAATTCTATAACACAAATGAAGTTAGAAACTAAAGTTTGGAAAATGGAATGAATACATAGATGTAAAGGAATCTGTCAATGTTCCTGTATTTACCAACATTTTCTGAAATGTTCTCTCTATGAAATAAGTGTTAACTAGACTAATGAAGCAGATATTCATGCTTGCTTATCCCTGTGTGGTAAATTCTGTACATCGGTTAGAAATAACAGGCAAATGAGTTAAATATATTATGAAGGAAGCTTAGTGAACTGAGGCCCTATGAATAGTTTTTCCTTTGTTTTATTTTTTATCTACAACTTTATAGCTCTATATTTCAGAAAGCGGAAGTAGCCCACCATATCCACAGCTGGTTGAATCCCATTTAGTAGTGAGACTTTGAGTGGCTCTCTTTACTGTTCACCTCAATAGCAGGATAAGTGAACATAAAAACTTACTTTTGGTAGATACTTCAAGTGTAGCCCACCCCCAAGTAAGAAGATAACCCTGAACAGCAAACAGAAGAAAAAAAAAGCAAAGTTTTTTTTTTTTTTTTCCCATTTCTATATGGTTTTCACATTAGAGTCACTGGCCCAGTTTCCATTAGCTTTATTCATGTACATCAATACTCATTTTAAGACTGTACTAATATACAAAAGTGGTGAGGCTGCATTGCGGACCAATGGGGACTGATCACAAACTCTTCCTATTCACTGAACTTAATTCTTTTATGCAGTTTCACACTTCTGACGTTTTCCAAATAGTGACCTTCACATAACAATCAGAGATTTATTTTTTTTACACTGTACTTATCTACCCTGAATCCCTTAGGAGACATTCAGAGAAGATATCTATTTAATAACATATCAAGATAGTCAAACGTTGGTCTGAGTCGGTTTGGGTGTATCATAAAATCAATAAGAGAATGAAGTTTTCCACTGAAGCCATAACAACCTATTTAAAGAACATTTAAATTTGCTTTGTTCCAACAACCCAGCCTACACTGAAATTCTAGAACACTTACCTCTTCTACTATCTCTCTTCATCTTATTTGGATCTTCATAGTCCCCCACCCAATTATATTCCACTGGCATAGATATAGGTCGTAGCTTGCCTAAACACAGAGAACAAAATTCACATCACATTGTTTTTCTTCCCCATGTCCGCTCATACTTAACACTGATTTTTAGCTACAGTCTGCAAAACACACTCACTCATATGCAACATTATGGTTGGCATTTGTGTAGATGAAAAATGTGTGTTTTGAGCCAGAAGGTGAAACTGCCTGTGGCAATTGGCCAGGTGATAATGCAATCTTAAGGCATCCTTTTATAAATAATAAAGAACAGCCTAGGTTTGCTCTCTCAGGAGCCCCAGATTTTAAGGGTATGGTCCTTTACAAAGAGTATCACTATTTTAGGGATTTCACTTTCTCTTCAGTCACTGGATCTCTGCCTTATTCCCCAATGCCCAAGTGTCTCCATCTTGATAGTCAATCTCCAAGATAGTAGCCCCTTGTGTTTAACCTGCCTCAAGGACATTAACCCACTGTGGCATGTTGGAACGCTACAATGCTAACTTCCCATCTTCACTGCGTCTTAACTCATGTCACAATACGTTTTGAATATACCACCATGCTTCAGCAATATGGCTAGATTCCCCTTTTATGGCCTATAACTGGGTCTGCCCTCCCAAGCATCCTTTTGGCTATTGTGAACAAGTCTAGTTTCCAGATCCAAGTAATCACTGCTTTGGCCTGTCCTGTTTCCCTCTGTTTGTATTCTTACTAAATAGCATTTTACTTTAGCAAGCAGAACTCATGGCATAGACTTCAAGGATAACTTTTTGGTGAGGCTGCAGTGCATTATTTTCAATCAACTTGAAATTCTTGAAGCACAAAAGAGCCATAGAAAATCATACAAAGGTTTAAAAAGGATACCTAGCACAATGCCTGGCATACAATAACTGCTTAATAAATTTTAAATGAATGAAAAGCCAAGACTCACACGGGACTGGATCCTAATAATGATGATTATGATGCCTGTGATAATACTACTAAACACTTACATATCATTTACCATATGCCAAAAACTGTCTAAGGGTTTTATAAGTATTAAATTGTTTAATCCTCATAGTTATGAGAAATATACTATCATTACTCTCGTTTTACTAGATGAAGAAACTGAGACAGGTTATGTAACTGGCCCAAGGACACAGAGTTGGGACCCTGTGTAGTACCAGGGTTGAAACCCAGGCACTTAAACACCACTTTAAAAACGCCATAATTCTTGGTGACTTCAATATTCACCCTCCAATATTCTGGTCTCTCAGTTTCTTGAGGTTCTCTCCTCCACCCACTCCTGTGGTCATATGCTTAACCTGTCAACTGCAAAGGCTGTAATCCCTTCTAGTATCCCACTTTTCAACTACCATCTTCTGTATTTCTAGTGCCATCCCTACAGCATTCCAAGTCCAAATATCCTCCTGCTTAATCTACTGATCTTCCCACCTTCCAACACCTCTAGGTCGGTCACTGTATATCCTCTTCATTTCCTTCCTTGCCCAACTAAATTTCATGATCAATTACTATGATCGGTCCATGTATTTAAAAAAAAAAATTCTGTTAGGAGACTTCTAATTCTGTTCCTAAGGAAAATGTAGCCTTATGGATTTATATTATGTACAATGATAGAGTTTACCTGGTATATTTTGCTAAGCTCTTTGAAAGTCTGAGAATGAACTGGATATGATAAAATTATTAATGAGCCAAAAAAAATGCAGTGTTTATTTAAAAGTGGCTTTCTTTCAAGGTGTGCAAACGACTTTAAAAACAATCACCTAAGATTCCAAAATTCTCATGGAGTGGATCTCTGAACTTTTACAAGGGAGAGCTTTGGGAGAGCTGATGCAGGTCAATATATCCCTGCCCTCCCAGGGGTGGGTAAAGCTTTTAGGAAAGGTCTAGTTTTGTCATGTCTATTCAACTGCTTGGCAGAATCAATCCTCCAGATTTTCAATGTTCTGAATTCTTTGTTTTCAAAACTCCTACAACTTATTTCTTTAGAATCTGGTTTTTCAAGTAAAGTCCATTTCAGCATGTGTGCACTGAAACTGAAGCAAGTAACAGCCCTAACACTGTTTCTACAAGTCACCAAGAAAATCTTTTGGAAAGTGAACAATCCAATTAATAAGCAGTTGTTTTACTTGCTCTATATGTTATTATATGTATATATAAAGTAGTTTGATACTTTTTAAAGAATTGATTGGTTGTTTGGAGTCAAATATATATGCACAAAGCCAAGAAGAAACATACTTCATGCATAGAATATGAAATAAATAACTGTATTCGTTGTATTTCAGGTCATCTTCTCTGAGATTCTCAAGGAGCTAAGTCATTGAGGCATGTAATTAAGCTTTTGATATGCCTGGTTATATTACTAACTATAGGAAAAAATTTGCAGAAGATTAAACACTGACTGGTGATTTTTTAGTAGAGTATACTGTATATTGCTAACATATAATTGAGAAAAAGGTAGTGAATTAAACAAAAAACTGAGATAAAAATCTTAATTAAAATTCACTTTTGGAGGACATCAGGCTTTTGCTTTTTACTAGTTATAAAGCTCTGAATTTAGCAATGCAAGTAAAAATACCTATTTTTAAAAGTATTATTTTTTAGTTATAAGAAATAATGTTGCTTATAAGTATTACTCCTTTTATAAACTTTTTTATTGTGCTGAAATATTGAAACAGATTTAATAAAAGAGAATGAAGAAATGCTCATATAAACAGCAGTCCTTGGCAAACTGAAAAAACGGAGAATGGCTTAGATTATTTCTAATTCCAAATACAGAGATCCTTGATTGCAGCATGGAAATGTTTGCCACTGCACGGGTATAGCAGTATTGTAATTTCACAAAACAGCAAAGTTCAAATGGAAAAAGAAATTTATGGTTTGTTGCTACAGTACTACTAGTCAAAAAAAAAAAGAATACTATAAGCTTTATTTTAGATTTAAGTCAAATGTACACTATTATTAATATATGCAAAGTATTTTTATATTTGTAATGACTTTTAAAGGCTTATTAAACACATTTGACTCACTCCTTATGGAAATGTACATATACTAATAATAAATCTCTGAAAAATAATCTGAAAAATTTTAAGACATCTCTTTAGGTAGTGACACTTGTATTTACTAATTCATGATGAAAATTAATAATAGTAGTCAAGAATACAGTAAAAAATAAAGTTAAGAGCCCTATTAAAAATTTTGCTGACCACTTCCTCTTAATTTTTTTATTCCTCCAAGCATAAAACATTTATTAATTGTAGAGTACATTTGATACCCTGTCATAAACCTTGTGATATCTCTGTGCTAGGGTCTCACAGTTAAACTATTTTGTTACTTGGCTGTTCATATCTGTTTGTACATCTGGAGCTTTCTAACTTGGATTTCCATACAGGCAGGAATTGTGCACTGTATTTCTTACTGTATTCTAATAAATGTAGAGTTGAAAGATAATTATTTTTGGATTTTGTTTGAATTTTATTCTGAAGTTGATGGCAAGTAGTTTTTTAAATTATGAACTATATTTATCTGTAATTAAACACAAATAGAACACTAAATATAATTTTAAGAATACTGACAATGAGGGGTGCCTGGGTGGCTCAGTCAGTTAAGTGTCCAACTCTTGGTTTCAGCTCGGGTCATGGTCTTGGGGTCATGAGATCGAGCCCCGGCACCAGGCTCCATGCTCAGCGTGGAGTCTGCTTGAGATTCTTTCCCCCTCTACTCCTTTCCCCACTTGTGCTCTCTCTCTGTCTAAAATACATAAAAATAAATAAATAAAATCTTTTAAAAAAAGAATACTGACAATGACGGAGTACTTTATAATGATCTAAAGTACTTGTTTTAAAATGAAATTGCTATGTTTTAATATTACTATATCATATGATCTCACTGATATGAGGAATTCTTAATCTCAGGAAACAAACTGAGGGTTGCTGGAGTGGTGGGGGTGGGAGGGATGGGGTGGCAGGGTGATAGACATTGGGGAGGGTATGTGCTATGGTGAGTGCTGTGAATTGTGTAAGACTGTTGAATCACAGACCTGTACCTCTGAAACAAATAATACATTATATGTTTTAAAAAAATAAGATAGTAGGAAGGGAAAAATGAAGGGGGGGAAATCGGAGGGGGAGATGAACCATGAGAGACTATGGACTCCAGGAAACAAACTGAGGGTTCTAGAGGGGAGGGGGGTGGGGGGATGGGTTAGCCTGGTGATGGGTATTAAAGAGGGCACGTACTGAATGGAGCACTGGGTTTATACGCAAACAATGAATCATGGAACACTACATCAAAAACTAATGATGTAATGTATGGTGATTAACATAATAAAATAAAATAAAATATTACTATATAAACTTACTTGAAAATAAATTGACATTTCCTTAGATAATAAAGCATATTTGGTGCTTTTGCAAATGCTACAATGCCCTTTGGCAGAGCTAACTGCTCACTCTCCTGGGCTCTTTCATAGTGCTTTTGGTATATATGTATTCTTATATATTATTATACTGTGTTCTATCTCTCTGTTAAAGGTTTTTTACTTTTTGGCAGAAACTAGGTCTTAGGTATCTTTGTTATGAGTGCTCCTGGCAAAGATACTGACCCAGAGCAGGTATTGATTAAAATTTTTTGAATGCTTGCAATGGAAGGATGCTAGACATTAGGGATATTCCAAATTACTAGGCCCTTCACTGGATTCTAGTCCCTCTTACTTACTCAAAGGTATCTCTTGTGCAATGCTTGCTTCTTTCTCCTGCAGCATCAATTTTTCCCTTTCTACCCAATGATTCCAATTAGCAAATAAACATGCTGCAATTTCTCCAATCTTTAAAAAACAAAACCACCACCTCTCTTCACCAACAAAGTACCACTCAACTACCACCTCATTTCTCTGCTCCCCTTTACAGAAAAACTCCTAGAATATAAAAATTGTTTATGTTCTCATTCTCTAATTCCTCTCCTTTTTTTCTAGATTTATTGAGGTATGATTGACAAATAAAAATGTTATATATTAAGGCTGTACAACATGATTTTTTAAG